TCTCCTTCGATAATTCAGTTTGTTGGGTTATAATTTAACCGTTGTAGCTGCGGACTGTATTAAACACTGATTTGTTGGTATAAATTATGTATTTGTTGCAGTTCTAATTACAATCACTGATTTATCACTAAGTTATAAATGAAGAAAGATATATTTATTTTTATTGGTTATTTACATGTTGTTAAGCGGACTTTACTTTTAGAAGTGAACTACTAGTACAAGTAATAATAATATTAATATCAATTACCAGGGGTAGCAACTATTCCGTGTAATGCTTGATGCCCTGAAGTTTGTCACCTTCATGGCCAATATAATAAAAGAAAAAGACGTCCGAACACAAACCTTCCTGATTATTTAACTCAATCAAAGTAATTTTTCATTTATACTCCAAGGCCATGATCACATACACTTCCTCCAACTCTTCACTCCCTTAACCTTGGCCCTTTTAACAATATCTTATATAATTACTTTACCATCAGATACCAGTTCTTGTTTCTCATAATTTCTTGATCATGGTCAAGGTTTTTCGAGGATTGACAATCAACCTTGGTGGTGGTCAATGGTCAACAATAACAAGTTGTTTTTGTACTCGTCAGACCACTTTCTTCATTGATAATAATGATCGTGATGATGATGATGATGACAAACAATTGATGAAATTACAATAACTTGTTTGTGAATTTTGATGGTAACCCGAACCCCGACTTGAGGTATTTAAGAGGATTCGATAACATAATATACCATTGATATGAGAGTTATCGATTTGATATTTATTATTATTGATTGGAAATGATATTTTGATTGGTGGTTGAATAAATTGAGATTCCGATCGGATGAGAGATTATATGAATGAATGAAAATATTATATGAATTTTAATAATTTCAAAAAATTATATTTATTTTACTGAGCTAATTAGCAGCCCATTCGTCAAAATAAAAAAAAGTTAAAAGAAAAATATACTTTATAATTATACGTTTTATGACTTTTTATGTGTCACTATTCATCAATTTTAATATAAAATATACAATGAATACGAATACTCGAAATATTTATAAAAAAATATATAGTGAGACGAAATATACATGCAACTCCCATTTTTAATAATTAATTAGTTCTGAAATTATTTAAAATGAAAGAGTTTTCAAAAAGTTGTATTTTTGAAATGTTTGATTTATTTAATTATGCAAAATTGTCACGTTTGTTTTATATGTCAAGAGATCTTAATTTCTTAGAAATGAATTTTTATTTTCAATTTTTCAGAACATAAATAAATTTAATATCCATTACAAGAATTTAAAAATAGTGAAATTTGTTATTTAAAAAAAAGTTAAGTTTTGAATAAAATAAATAACATTCCTATTATTTTTTGTTTAATTTAAATACTAATATTTTGATTATGAAATCTACTATCGTTTTTTTTATTTTAAATTTTCGCTTTTTTTATTATTTAACTTTTATGAGATTTTCATAAAATATGTTATCATTTTTGAAAATTCTAAAATTGTAAAGCTTTTTAAAAATTGATAATTTGATTTATGAAATTTGTTATTTTCTTTAAAAAAATGAAATGTATGGGTATAAAATATCTCTTGAATATTCTCATATCTTGAAAATATAAAATGACTAATATATAGTCATTTTTGAAAATGTAAAATTTTAAAATCTGTTATTTTGCATTATGAAATTATTTGGTTTCATAGAAATAAGCAATTTTGAATATAATGTTTAAATATTCTTTTAATATTTTGATTTCTGAGAATATAAAAATGTTGAAACTTTAAATATAATCAGATTTTTTTTTACGGAAAGAGTTAAATATTTAAAATATTATTTTTTTAATTTAATATTTTCCGGAAAATCTTCTTGAATCTTTGAAATAAAAAATATAACAGATAAATATTCCTTTTTGATTTTTGAAGAATTTTATTATACATTTCTTTTGTAATTTTGAATATATTGAAACTTTAAAAAAATTATATTTTGAAAATTATGTTTTTTTTTCAATAAAATAAAGAAGTTTTGAATAATATGATAAAAAAAAATTGTTTAAATTTAGAACTATTTTATAAATTTTGAAATATAATTCAATAAATGGAATAAATTTTTATTTTCATTTTTTGTGTATTTACATAACATACTTGTTTTTGAAAAATTTAAAAACATTCAAACCTTTTAAAAATCGATGTGAGGTTTGTTATTGATAAAAATGTAAAAGTGAATACATGAATTATAATTTTTTTACAATATTTATAATTTTTGGAATATACATAATACACCTACATATAATATATTTTTTATGATTTTTTCATAGTTTTTTTTATTATTGAACATTGATGTATGTGATAAATTTAATTAATACTCTTACATACATTATAAGTATCAATTGAAAATCGTATGGATTATTTTTTATAAAACCAAAATTTATATTTCAGACAGTAAAATTTTTTATCTAAATTATTAACCTAATTTTTTATTATAATTTTACATTTATCTGAAAGTTCATGCATTTTGTCGTAAAGAATAATGTCACATATATATATAACTTATTGTTAGTTACTTTGAAACTTTGAATTTAGAAAAAAAGTCAACTTTAATTGTGGAAAATTTACGATTATTTCATATTATCATAAGCTAAAGTAGTAAATTAACAAACCATTAAAAAAAGTTATTAAAAAATTGCGAGTTTTATAAGTGAATATCTTGTTTTTTCATAAAAATTGAAGATTATTATCGAAAATTATTTGACTAGCAAAAACAAAAAAATTCATATTCTTCCTGTCTATTCTACTTCAAATCACCAATTCATATTCTACTCAATTTCAATCCAACAAATTAAACGACAGTTTCATGTCATTGCCAGGACTCGAACTGAGTATCCCTGAAGTGTGAGTCGGGCATACTACTGACTGAGCTATTTTCAGCTTTTTTTCATTTTACCAAACCAAAAACAATATAAATAGAATTAGTTGAAGTTTTACTTGAAACCAGCAAAAGGTATTGAAAATTTTCAGGATGCTAAATCGTCTTGTTATTTATTTTTCTCTGAAATATTTTTTCTATGCACATCGTTCATCTATTTTCCTCGTATCGTTGTTTTTCACTCATATGGCACATGTTTTATTTATGCAATTAAAATTAAATAAAATTAAACAAATAATTTATGGCACGCGAGTCCGTGACACAGAGCGATAACACTCTCCTAATAGTAACATAACAACATATTCATTAATATACATTTATATTTAAATACAATTATATATATATATATATATATATGCAATATATATTTATATTTATATTAATATAAATATGTATTTATCTGACCTTGACAGTCTGCACGCACTACTCTGTTGTAATACGAAGCTTTTCTTCTGGACTTGTTTTATTTTATTTTGTTGAGTTACATATTAATCATAAGACGTTACTTAATTTCATTAACGACAGATTCGGATATAAATCGTGATCGTTTGTCATAATATTAGTGATAAACTAGTGGTGTATGACATCGTGCCTTCAGGCAAATTGCTGGAACTTCCCGTACCGTAATGAAATATTCGAAAAATATTAAACGTTTTCAAATATATTATTACAAATACTCTGTAACTTTCATTATTTTTGCTATCTTATTGTTATATCTGAGTAAATTAAATGTGAATCATAAATCATAAATAAATTTATCTCCCGAAAATTAACAATCGTCATTTCATTTCGAATTCAATTTCAAAAAAAAATAGTTGCCTAATTTACACAAAATTGAAAAAGTGCTCCCGTATAGTCACAGTCTAAACGCATTTGCAAATAATTCTGTGCGACATTTTCACTTATACTGTGTTTAGCTTGGCGGCATTTTCACATTTTTCAATAGTTTTCACAAAATTGAAAAAGTGCTCCAGTACATAAACAGTCTAAACGCACTTGAGTGAACATTTGTACCAGAGTGGCGGTTAGACTGTGCTTAGCCTGGGTGATTTTTTAAATTTTTAATCAAAAATTACAAAAATATTTTTTGAAAAAAAAAATTAGAAACAATTTTTCTTTCCAAAAGCAATTATTTGTTGAAACAAGCAGAAAATTCTTTGAATCATTTAAATCGGACACTTAGTTCTCTCAAAAACTGCCAATATTTGCACATTTAGCTCTGTATCTTCGAAATGGCGGGACCTGCCTTTGCGAAAAACTAATCACCTCTTCTCCCAATCATTACAAATTGAATGTTTTTTAGATCATTCAATTCCGATACTCCGTTCTCTCAAAAACTCGATTTGTATTTTTTGCACTGTTTGCTCCGTATCTCCGTAACTGCAGGACCTGCCTTAGCAAAAAACTAATCAGCACATCTCCCTATCAATAGAGATCGAATGCTTTTTAAACCATTCAAATCGGTTGATCCGTGCGCCCGAAAACGTGGACGAAAAAATGCGGACATTCAAAACACACACACACATCCATTTTTTCTGAGGTATGCCAAAATGTTCAGAAACCTTCAAAACGTTGAGAAATGTAAAAATTTTCATTTTCGATTTTCGGCCCATTACAATAACTACCCTAAAATTATTGGTAGACAGGTAGACAAGTGAAAAGAAAGATGGGTAGACTTATAGACAGGTAGTCAAATCGGAAATGCAACAAAAACTTGAAAAAAGATCATTTAGTAGTCAACAATGAGCATTAAACATCATTAATATTGTTTTATATATAAATAAAATTATTGGCAGTTAGGAAGTTGCCTAAAGCTAAATGCCACTTACACCTAGTTATTTTAGCATTGACCACCTTAACATCCCTTGACTGTAATAACTTTACGTATATATAATCAAAGAGACATAAAAAAGTTGCACTCATGCTAAAATTGTTATTTGACGTGTGTGCCATTTGGAGGTTAAGTTTTATGTGTGAAGCGCCTGAACGCACAGTAAATACATAGCATTACCGTAACACACCTTTTATAGTGTGCTTGTTAAAATAAAATATACTATTTTTAATATTTTTCCTTTTCCAGCCCTGGCCCTCTGCGACTGGTCCCACCTGCAGCAAAAAAGGCGCAATCTAGCCCGAAAGCACTGCTCGCCCCGAGACGGATCATCTTATTACTCCAAACTGGACGAGGTTGCCCGTCTAGAAATGTCAGAATTCCTGCACCAGCTCGAAATAAGCGTAAATCCTGGCCAAGAATACAAACTGAAACCCCTGGTGATGGCAACTTGTATGAACATGTTCAGCCACTACATGTGTTCCATCAGATTCGGCTACGAGGACGACGAATTTAGGGAAATTGTGAGGTATTTTGATGAGATTTTCTGGGAGATTAATCAGGGATATGCTATAGATTTCCTGCCGTTTTTGTTGCCGTTTTATCGTAACCATATGAAGAAACTGGAGACTTGGTCGAAGGATATTCGGAGTTTTATTTTGTCCAGGATTATTGATGATAGGGAACGCGATTTGGATCCTGAAGAGCCCGAGAAAGATTTTACAGATGCTTTACTGCACAGTTTGCGTGAAGATTCAACAGTAAACCGTGAGACTATAATTTATATGCTAGAAGATTTCCTGGGTGGACATTCTGCAATCGGTAACCTAGTAATGTTGGCGTTAGCCAACGCCGTCAGAAACCCCGAAGTCGCCTGCAAAATCCAGCAAGAAATCGACCAGGTCACCGATTTTAACACCAGGAGCATCACTTTGTACGATACCGAAAAAATGCCTTACACAGTATCTGCTATCTCCGAAACTTTAAGATACTCATCATCACCTATTGTACCTCATGTCGCCACAGAAAACACCAGTATAGCCGGTTATGCCGTCGAAAAAGGCACCATAGTGTTCATTAACAACTATGAACTAAATACAAGTGATATTTACTGGAACAAACCTGAACAATTCGATCCTGAACGGTTTTTGGAACCTGTACCCGAAGATACCAAGAAACAAGACTTGCACAACCAAGATTTTCATAATCAAGATTCGGGCTTAGAGTCTGATTCTGATATTTTAGACGATGCAAATAAACCCAAAATGAGGGTCAAGAAAAATATACCGCATTTCCTGCCCTTCAGTATTGGTAAAAGGACGTGTATTGGTCAAAGTTTGGTCAGGGGTTTCAGTTTTGTCATGTTCGCCACTATTATGCAACATTACAACGTCAGTACATCGGATGTTAAAAATATCAAAACGTATCCAGCATGTGTTGCAGTACCTCCGGATACATTTTCCCTGATTTTGGAACCAAGAATAAGAGAGTAGATATATTTAGAAGGTAAAAAATATTTTAAGGTATCAATCCAGGGATATAAATCTCTCATTTATTATCCAATGTCTGTTTTGGAAACAAAAAATAGTTTCATATCCAAAGGAGGTTGTTCTATATTTTGCAGCTATTTTTTGATAACTGATCTCTATTTTTACAAGCACACAATAAATAGTTGGTTAAAATATTTTTAGTAAGGTAAGGTGAGTGAGAATAATGGTCGATAGATTTATACTGACTTGTAGATTTAAAGTTATTTATATTATTACAAGAGTAGTCCCAAAAGTACTTGGTTTCGAAATTTTTTTGCTTCTTTCGGTCATTTTGCTCGAATTGGTAAATGTTTAAGAACAAACCACACAAAATTTGGCTAATCTGGATCTATTATTATAGAAAGTTTACGCAATTTCTTTGTTTATCCAAGGATAGTGACAAATGAGTGTTTTAAACATTTATTTTCAATAAAAAAAACTCAGTGTCACAGTTGTTGACTTTTTGGGCATGCAGCAACCTACTGTCTCTGCAGAAATAAACCCAACCTTGGTTTTTATTAAAAAACAACTAATTGTCGATTAAAAAAATTATATTTTGAAAGAAATCTTTTTGAACTTGAATTTCAAGAAGTTTCTTGAACTTTCTTGATTATCAAACACTCAAATATTAGTCTATATCTAGATAAAAAAAATTATTTAAAAATATGGTTTTAATAATTTAAAAGTTATGACTATCTATCAATCAAGTACTTCTAGAATGAAATTTTTGAACTAAAATATAAATATTTTGAAAAAATCTTTTTGGAATTTGAATTTCAAGTAATTTCTTGAACTTTCTTGATTATCAAACAATCAATTATTAGTCTATATCTAGATAAAAAATTCAATTGAAAAATCAAAATTGACTTTTTAACAGTCAAGTACTTCCAGGACTGCTTTCGTAAATGTAAAATTATTTGAAATTTTAAATTATTATAGATGAATTAAGAAAAATGAATAGTTTAACAGCATTGTGTGAAAAAGTTTGTGTGTATAATTTATATGTATAAAAATTATATAATTGTGTGAATGTTAATAAATATCAATTTGTTATCATAGATATTATTTACAATAATTATTTAATCAGCTTATAATTTTTATGAGAATGCATATCAGCATTTATGAAAATGCATATTTAGAAACTGTAAATATTATATTTAAATACGTTAAAGTTTAAGTTAAATTAATTACTTAGTTTTTATTTTAAATAAATAATATTTATGTATATTTTTTATCATTTATATTTATATGTGTGTAATGCATCACCAAGAAAAATTGCAAGATCTAAATATTCATCGCAAAAAAAATCTTTATTTTCAATTTCATAAAATTATTTTTGCACTAAAGATGTACTCGTATTTATTATAAATTTTCAAAAAAATTAAAATTTAACTCTGTACAATTTATAAGTTTATTTTCGAAAAATATTGCTCTTTCATAAAACGATTTTACATAAGAGAGCAATTTTATTTAAGAATAAACTTAATTTAGGAACTTGTAGAATTTTAAATCTAAAATTTATACAATTTATATGCTTCAAAAATTATTAAATGTATAAATAAATAAAGTAAGATGATCTCGCGAAATTTTTGAGGTCAAACGACATATTTATATATTTTCAAATTTCAACTTAAAAAATAGAACGAGTAATTCATAAAATTTTTGAAATTGCAAAAAGTGAGTCATATTAAAATTTATGAATTTCTAAATAAAAACTGATATTTATAACAAATTCTAATCTGTATTGTTATTCATATTTAATATACTATTTATTATTAATTTTAATGCTATGTGTACTATATATAGTATAGACATTTATTAACAAAAATTAGTAACAAACGTTGTCATACAACTCACATGATTTTAAAGGAATTTTTTTGGTCAAAAAGGCAATAATATTTGTTAAGTTTTAGCAAAATAGTATTTTTGTATAAAACTATAATATGTGAAAAATTTATATATATGTATATATATATATGATGTATATATATATATATATAATATATATATATATAGTTTAAGTTTTAGTTATAAGTTTCTCTGTCGGACAAATCATGCAAATATGTTTTTAAGTGATCGAAAAGACTGAATAAATATTATATAAACATTATATGTATTTTTGCATAAAACTGAACTCTAAACAAAATATATTTACTCCGACTTACGTAAAAATAATAATTAATATACTTATAACCCTTCAAAGGGTCTATTAAGCCTCAAAATAAATTATTTTAGGTTTAAAACTAAATTGGACAAAATATATAACAAGTGTTTCATTTATATGTTTAAGTTATTTTTTCGTGTAAATATTTTTATTTATTTTAAGATTTCAAATACTATTTTTGTAATAATTAGTTTTATAAATTATGTAGTTTTGCTTGCCGATATATATATGTTATTAATTTTATTTGGTATTTGATAGTTGTAAATTTAGTTTAGAATAAAAATATAAATGATTTTTAAATGTTTTGGAGGTTTTATTTCAAAATTAACTAAGGAATAAAAAATTAATTAATTAAATATAAAATAAAGTTATCAAATAATTTATTTAGAATATAATGGAATATTTGTATGTAATTTTTTTGAATTTGTGAATGATACCTCTATGAATTTCTTTTATTATATAGTAATTTTCTTAATTCGACAACAAGTAAAACTGTATGCGAAATACTTTAAAAATACAAAAACTTTTTTCATTGTCAGGGAAATAGGAGTTTATGGTGTGAAAATTTAGGGTTTTGTGTATTTTTCATTTGCACATTTCCAAAATTTAATTTTATTCCAAAAGATATAAATAAAATATCTTTATTTTTATCTTTAAAAATAATCCCACTAACGACTCCTATTGAAACATTAATGAATTTCCAATACAAATATATGTATAGAAATGTTTCCACCAAAGTTCGAGCAGATGGAGTTAGTATTTTAGCCGAGCTTAAAATCAAATTTTGCGGCGGGAATAGCTCAGCCAGTATCATGCCTAACTCACAAGCAAGGGACATTCGGTTCGAGTCCTGGCACTGACATTGACTTGTCATTTGACTTGTCGGATTCAAATTAAGTAGAATTTAGATTTTGATGTTGAATAGCTCAGTCAGTACAATGCCTGACTCACACGTCAAGGATACTAGGTTCGAGTCCTGGCACTGACATTGAATTGTCTATTGTCATTTTGTTCTAAACGTTTCAAATTTATTATTTCATATATTTCGGATGCAGGATTAGATTTGGTTTATTAGCTCCATTAAAATTTAGGTAAATGTAACAAGATTCTGTAAGTCATCTCAGGACAACATTTTTTTCTTTCATATAAAAATGATACAATAATGTGTATTCAAAGTGTGGTAAAAAACACATAGAACACGGTTCGAGTCCTGGCACGGACATAAAATTGTCATTTGATTTGTTGAATTAAAATTAAGAAGAATTTAGAATGTTGATTAGTTCAGTCAGTAGCATGTCCGATTCACACGCGAGGGGTACTCAGTTCGAGTCCTTGCTTTAAAATAAAATTGTCTTATTGTCTACTTAGGTAAATGAGACAGGATTCTGCAAGTCGTCTGAGTACAACACTTTTTTGTTTATTCAAAAATGATATGATTTAATTTAAGATAAAATAGAATTAGAAGTTAAGAGAAGAAACAAGATTAGAAAAAAAGAGAATAAAAAAAAAGTCAGTTGTAAAAAAATTGGAATCTATATAAGATTTTTGAAGTTAGTATAGGACAGTGATCCTCAAAGTAGTCCACATGGACCTCCTGGGGACCATGGCAACTCTCAACAAAATTTGGGGTCCATGAAATAAAAATAGGGGTCCACGGCATATTTAGAAATAAACCAAAAAGTAATGAAAACCATTACATAAGAATGTTAGTATTGATCGTAGAGCCAGCGACCCAACGACCACGCATATCTCGAAAACTATTGAACGTCCCGACTTTAAATTTTTTTCACATTCTTAGTAAGGTACAGTAACAATATGTGCCGAGTTTTATCAAAATCGCAATATGTGTTTTTGTTTAAATAGTACCTGTTTAAATATTAGTATTGGGCGTAGAGCCAGCGACCCAACGACCACGCATATCTCGAAAACTGTTGAACGTCTCGACTCTAAATTTTTGTCACATTCTTAGTAAGGTACAGTAACAATATGTGCCGAGTTTCATCAAAATCGCAATATGTGTTTTTGTTTAAATAGTACCTGTTTTAATATTAGTATTGGGCGTAGAGCCAGCGACACAACGACCACGCATATCTCAAAAACTGTTGAACGTCCCAACTTTAAATTTTTGTCACATTCTTAGTAGAGTACAGTAACAATATGTGCCGAGTTTCATCAAAATCGCAATATGTGTTTTTGTTTAAATAGTACCTGTTTAAATATTAGTATTGGGCGTAGAGCCAGCGACCCAACGACCACGCATATCTCGAAAACTATTGAACGTCCCGACTTTAAATTTTTGTCACATTCTTAGCAATGTACAGTAACAATATGTGCCGAGTTTCATCAAAATCGCAATATGTGTTTTTGTTTAAATAGTACCAGTTTAAATATTAGTATTGGGCGTAGAGCCAGCGACCCAACGACCACGCATATCTCGAAAACTGTTGAACGTCCCAACTTTAAATTTTAGTCACATTCTTAGTAAGGTACAGTTACAATATGTGCAGAGTTTCATCAAAATCGCAATATGTGTTTTTGTTTAAATAGTACCTGTTTTAATATTAGTATTGAGCGTAGAGCCAGCGACCCAACGACCACGCATATCTCAAAAACTGTTGAACGTCCCAACTTTAAAAATCTGTCACATTCTTAGTAAGGTACAGTAACAATATCTTTTAAATTTCATCAAAATCGCAATATGTGTTTTTGTTTAAATAGTGCCTGTTTAAATATTAGTATTGAGCGTAGAGCCAGCGACCCAACGACCACGCATACCTCGAAAACTATTGAACGTCCCAAC